TGTCCTAGGGAGCCATTGGATTTTCTGTAGACTAAGATATCCAGGAAGGGAAGTTGGTTGTTCACTTCTGTTTCCATGGTGAACTGTATTTTGGGGTGTAGGCTGTTGAGGTGTGTGAGGAAGTTGTCCAGTTTTTCTTTCCCATGTGGCCAGATTATGAAGGTGTCGTCCACATATCTGAGCCAGAGTTTGGGTTTGTGATCGGATTTTTCTAGGGCTTGGGTTTCAAAGTATTCCATATAGAGGTTGGCAATGACAGGTGAGAGGGGTGATCCCATGGGTGCTCCTTCTGTTTGTTTGTTTAATGGACAGAAATACAAAACGTCGAAACGTTGCCAAGACACTTCCAACTTTACGCGGGAGAAAACCCGAATAATCAAAGACCTACATACAAACACCCGTGAAAACTTCAGAAAACAAATATTGTACCTCTATGGGGAGGATATCCACCATCTGACCAGGACCTACGAAAAACTTGAAGAGCTTCCATTTTATGTGACCTCGAATTCCTACGCAACTGCCGTGATCAAAATTTAATCCCCACATGCTTCCAATTGAAATACCACTCCAACTCTGCAGCCACCAAGCACATCCTGAAAAGAACAGAATTGGCCCTAATCAGAAATGAACTTCACACAAAAAGATTCCTCTTAGACCGAATCAATAAAGATCTCTTCACACTTCACCTCAAACTCAGCAACAAGATCCACTCCACACTTTGAGACAAATCCAAACAACTCGCCGTCTGGAGAGCCAAAACACAGACCACCCTCAAGACAGACACACACACCAACAAACTCCGAAGACTACAAGAACGCCAGAAACAAACCCCTCCCCCCTCACAGCCACACATGAAACAAACAGTGCATAACATCTCAGGATCCTCACCAAAGCCGAAACCAATGTCCTTTCCAAAGGATTCAACTTTGCAGTCACTCCCAAACATATCCCCACTGAAACCATTATATGCGGAGTTGAAACCAGCCTGACCAAAATCAACCCTGACACGCTAACAGAATCAGACTCAAAATCACCAACATCCTCTGCACCAGCAAGCCACCCAAAAGCAACTTACCCAGACAGCACTACTTAACCTGAAAGAAGACACCAGCATAATAATCCTACCAGCAGACAAGGGAAATGCCACGGTAGTTATGAACACATCTGACTACCAAACCAAATTACTCCAAGACTCCACATACAAACCCCTAAACACAGATCCCACCACCTACCTGGAAAAAACTACTAGATTCAAAATAAAAGCCTCCCCCATCAGCGAAGAGATCCAACAAAGAATCATTCCCAGAGAGAAATCATCCAGATGCCCTAAACTCTATGGTCTCCCCAAGATACACAAAGAAGGAACCCCACTTAGACCCATAGTCAGCTCCATAGCTCACCTCTACAAAACCTAGCCAAATTTCTCACCAAACAACTACAGCCCTATGCAGAATCCATCACCTCACACGTAAAAAACTCATTCCAGTTCATAGAGATCATAAAGAAACAAAACTTACAGCCCAGTGACCTACTTGTGAGCTTCGATGTCATATCCCTCTTCACCCAAGTGCCAATCAAAGAAGCCTTGACAGCTATCCAAAACAAATATAACCCTCCCCCCCAAGCACATTTTAGATCTGACCAACCACTGCCTATCCAACACATACTTCATCTATAACGGACAAAAATACAAACAAATAGAAGGAGCACCCATGGGATCACCCCTCTCACCTGTCATTGCAAACCTCTACATGGAACACTTTGAAACCCAAGCTCTAGAAAAATCTGATCACAAACCCAAACTCTGGCTCAGATACGTAGACGACACCTTCATAATCTGGCCACACGGGAAAGAAAAACTGGACAACTTCCTCACACACCTCAACAGCCTACACCCCAAAATACAGCTCACCATGGAAACAGAAGCTAACAACCAACTTCCCTTCCTGGATGTCTTAGTCTACAAGAAATCCAATGGCTCCCTAGGACACACCATCTACCAGAAGAAAACACACACAAACCGCTATCTGCACGCATTCTCACACCACCACCCAGCACAGATCAACTCCATAGCCAAGACACTCATCTCCAGAACAAAATGCTTAGCTGACGAAAAACACCTAAAAACCGAACTACACACAATCACTAACATACCAACATCCAACGGATTCCAAAGAAATAAGATTACCAACCTAATCTAAAAAGAAACCCCCACTAAAATCCAAGACAGAGAACAAGAAAACGGCAAAGCCCTCCTCCCATACATAAAAGGCACCACAGACAGAATCAGCAAGATCCTCCACAAACACAACATCAAGAAAAATATCCGAAAAATATCCACCATCCTAAGAAACCCCAAAGACAAAATTGAGTTAGAAAATCAAGGAGTATATGAAATCCCATGCACCGCCTGCCCCACCACATACATTGGACAAACCAACAGAAGAATAAGTGCACGCATTGAGGAACACAAGAACTCAATCAGAAAAGAGGAACCAACTTCTTCCCTGGTCCAACACCTTAAAGCCACAGGACATGATATTGACTTTAAAAAGACCAGAACTATCGCCAAAACTGAACACTTTAACAACAGAATAATCAGAGAAGCCATCGAGATAGAAAAACGCCCACACAGCATGAACAAACGAGACGATACCTCCCGCCTACCAGCCATTTGGAAACCCGCCCTTATTGACAAACGAGTCCCTAACACGACGAATGACACCAGACCCACACTCACGAGTGCCACACCTGATGTCACCACCACACATCCACGCAGAAAGCAGACTCAAACCCACACTGATAATGAGCCACGACCAAGGACCAGAAGCCAGACCGCAGCTGCATCATTAGCCACTTTAAACCCCTCCAATCCATACATGAAGCAGACTGACACCCACCATGAAGCGCTCGCACGGCCACAAACACTAAGCCAAACAACAACAACGCAGCTCACCAGCTCAAATCCCCCTGCAACTCAGACTAAGCTGAGCACAACCAAGCCCCCACCCAAAGAGAACACAACCCCAGCCAATCAGAGCACAGCCAAGCCCCTAACCAATCAGAACACACCTCCACCCAATCAGAACACAGCCAAGTTCCCACCCAATCAGCTCACACCTCCACTAGCAGTTAAAAGGAAGAGACAGCTGCGATCTCACATTGCTCCTGGAAGCACGAACACCAGCCTGAAGATGACGAATGAGACTTCGTCGAAACGTCGCCAAGACACTTCCAATTTTACGTGGGAGAAGACCCGAATAACCAAAGACCTATATATATATATATATATATATATATATATATATATATATATATATTAAGAAAACAGACACAACTGGATTCCCCTTCCTGACCATATATGGCATGATAATTGCTTGTGTATACACAAAATGCAATTGTCCTAAAGGTGCTTTTTCAGGTGGCAACTGGACTTTGGTTTTTTTCCCATTGAAGACGGTTCGCATCTCATCCAAGAAGCTTTTTTAGCTCTGACATGATAGTGGAGAATGGAAGGATTTATATTCCTTGCAGACAGCTGGTCATTTGCATCTTTTTAGAGGATAGTTGAAGCACTTGGAGGTTTATTTGTGTCCTCAGGTCACCTGGGTCCTGTAGTCTGCAATTTTAATCCAGAAATCCATTCTTGCTCCCACACCATTCAAAATGTTCATCCCAAATTGTATAGCAAATGTATGTAGAGATTCTCAGTCATCCAGGTCATAGTTGTCCCAATCCTTCCATTCCCCACTATCCTGTCAGAGCTGAAGAAGCTTCTTGGATGAGAAGCGCAATGTCTTCAAAGAAAAAAACAAACAAAGTCCAGTTGCCTCCTGAAAAAGCACCTTTGGAACAATTGCACTTTGTGTACATACAAGCAGTTATCAAGTGTGTGTGTGTGTGTGTGTGTGTGTGTGTGTGTGTAAAAAACCTAGAAACTAATGGATTGTGATTTCACTGAACTAGGGCTGCAAAAAATCTTGGTTTACGTAGGAAGAACCTGGCTAAAGAGAAATACACATAAAGCCTACGAAAAGGAAAAATACACACACACACACACACACACACACTTATTTATATTTCGCTGATAAAGAAATGAAGAGAGACTAGGTTAGATCTATTTCAAGCTATTTAGCTCTCATCAACTAGCCATACCTTTACTCGGATTCGAACTTGGGCTGAGGTAAATAGCTTGAAACAGATCTATACTAGTCTCCCTTTATTTTTTTATCAGCGAAATATAAATTTGATATAAAAAATGTTTGTTGTGAATGCGACTGCTTGAGGGCTCCTGGATTGGAGCTGAAAGGCGAAAGGGAAGCAGTATGCTCCCTCGCACATGTTGGGGTAGACCAGGTGCCTCGATAGAAAAGCCCTACTAAGCAGGTATATACAAAAGTATGAAGGCTATTGCTTAATGCATTGTAAGCCGCCCTGAGTCTCCAGAGAAGGGCGGCATATAAATCGAACTAATAAATAAATAAATAATATTGTATATATTGTAATATATATATAATTGTATTAAATATATAAATGTATTAAATATATATATATATATAATTATAATATTGTATGTGTGTAAAATACATATATTTTAAAACGGATACAACTGGATTACCTTTCCCGACCAATATGGCCTGATAACTGCCTGTGTGTACACAGTGTAATTATACTTTTGGCGGCAAATGTTCCAAATACCGGCACTACTTAAGACAACTGCTTATGTACATAACACTACACACACATATCCCCTAAATCTAGCGTTTGCCCTCTTTCGGTAGCGACCTTTGAGGGGTGGTGGCTGGGTCGCTGAAAGGGCGGGAAAAATCTCTGACGTAATCTTTCGATAACGTGCCCTTCCTCTTGGCCCTCCCTCCCCGCCCCCCTCCGCTCGTTGCAGTCGACTTTAAACAAGCCTAGGCGGCTTCCAGATCTCGAGACGCTGTCACTCACGGGGGAACTGAATGCGCGCCGGAAATAACGTCATGCTCAGCCGGAAGCCGGAAGCGTCGGCCGTGGCTGGCGAAGACGGAGGGGTCGAGGGGGACGTCTGCCCATCGCGGTCCCCTCCGCCGAGCCTCCGTCGGGCGGAAGGTCCGCAGGTGAGAGAAGTATCCCCGGCGAGTCGAGGTTGCTCTGGGCCCGGCTCTTACGGACCGTGCTTCTAACCCGGTTTCTCAGAGGTCGGGAGAGAGGTTCTGGGGGGTAGGCAGAGCGGGGCGTCAGGTGCCCTAAGAGCAGCGAGAGGTGAAAGGCGCCCACTTCTCCTCCTTCCAGACCCCGAAACCGCCCTGCGTGGTTTCGGCGTCTGCGTGATAGAAAGGCTGTTTTGAATTACTTGGTTTCTGTCCTGCGAATGCCTTCACCCATCTCGCTTCTTCCTCCAGCCACGAACTACTTCGTGCTTCTCTGTCAAAAGGGATAACGCATCAGTTCAGAAATACACTTCTGGGTAGTTAAGCCTCAAACCCTATAAACTAAGGGTTACAAAACCCCAGCAGCGGTTGATTGGCAAAGATTATGAGAACTCCCGTTTTAATCCAAGGAAGAGTTTGAAATTGATCAAGAAGGTGGAAAAACTAATAAAAGATGGATAAAGCCAGCCAGCGTTTGTGTGTCTGTTGTCTTTTTTTTATTAGCTTTATTTGTGCAACATATCATTGATAAACTATTGTTAACAAATTAATGGCTTTGTTTAACATGCTAAGCAAAGCCAAATCACATCATGGCTTAAAATGATGGCTTGGCTAATACAGCATGCTCGATTTTATAGTTATTGTGCTTGGTGTAGTTTAGCCCTTGTCGTTGAAAGTTTATAGTTAACGGTTTAGCGTGTTGTGTGAATCCAGCTACTGAATTTCAGTGGCTTAATGTTGAGGATTTGAAGGTGAAGCCTTGAATTATAAATATGTACTGTGTTTTCCCAAAAATAAGACCCTGTCTTATATTTTTTGAACCCTGAAATAAGTGCTTGGCCTTATTGCCATGCGCTTAAAACCTGATTGGGCTTATTATCAGGGTAAGTTTGTGCCAAATGTGTTCGTTCCAACAAATCCCAATTATATCACTCCTCCCATACATGGTTCATACCACTTTCATCCTAAATTTCCAGATTAAGGTCTGAAATCCTTGAATGTTTCTGTGCTTGCATTAGCCTAATATGTTCTATGAACCAATTCTGGGTGGCTAGTTATAATGTAGTCTGTGAATCAGAACATTGAGTTAATTCGATAGACCATTGTTAAATTGCTTATCGCAGTGTTACTCAACCTTGCAAATTTAAGACAGATGGACTTCAATTCCCAGAATTCTTCAGCCAGGACAGCTTGCTGGGAAATTCTGGGGGTTGAAGTCCACACTTCTTGAAAGTTGTGGAGGTTGAGAAACAGTGCCTTATAGTGAAGTGTGATATGTAAACAAAAGTTGCAAATCCTTCATTCTAAGTACAACTGTCTGGTACTGGAAATTGCAGAAGCAGTCATTGATCAAATTTCAGTCAATTTCTCCACTAAGTCCTTGCTGATATTGAAATAATTTGTTCAACAGTTTTAACAACAGTAAAATTCTTTTATATTATCTATAATTTGATTGATGCAGAATTCCATTGCTATGGAACTATGCAGTCATCTCTATATGGATTATTACTCATTTGTGAATTTACTGCAATAGAAGAAATCTTTTTCTTCTGTCCAATAATATATAGATGATTGAGAATTTCCATGACAGTATACTCAGAGGAAGAAACTATCTTCCTTAGCAAATTAAAATTTGTCTTGGATATCTGATCTTAATATGAAACCTGCTTATTCTACTGTGTATATGAATGAGAGAATGGGAGATTAGTTTCATTACTATGTTAAGATTTATAGTAGCAGTATATTAACTATTAAACTGTCTTCATGAAGAAAATATTGACAAGATCAAGGAGCTTTTTGGAGAAATTCTGTACCATATTAACCAACAGAGGTAATGATTCTGTTTTATAATTCATTTGATAGCAGACTGCAAAAATGTTTTAAAAAGGCGTAAGGTAGCTAGAAATATGATTTAAAGTTACTTATTAGCACAAATGTATCTTTAGTAATTCTACTTTGGATATGTTGAAGTTATGGGTAGTTTAGAAATTTCCCTATGTATCATGGAATTGTTTATTTTTTGAAAGAAATACATAATATACTAGTATGGAGTTCCTTTTAACACGTTTTTACAAAAACCACTTTTAACAAAGTTTGAAATCATCTTGTCTGGGAATTTGAGTAGCAAATGTCTTTTAGGCTTTTCTTATAACATATTTCTCATTTATGTATACGATTTTACATAAATCTTGTTTCAAATTTATTTTCATTGTCTTTTGGGGGGGATTACACATAGTTCTGTGACTACAGTAAAATTTGATGGTTGCTGGAACAATCTAAATAGTTCTTCTTTTCCCCCAGTGTAAATTGAAAATTCTTGGGAAGAGAATAGAGTTCACCACAAGTAATTACAATGTATTTAATTGAGTATAATTAGAAAGTCTTAATTCAAAGCATGAATATTTCCTAATTTTAAAAAATGGCAAGACTCTCAAAGTAAAAAAAAAATCCTGAACTTTTATTTTATTGCAAACCATTATTGAAATTCTAAATGACATAAATAGAAATATAACTGGGAAAATGTAATGGTTTGTGAGTTAATTTTATTACTTGAATTATTTAGAGAAGACATCTGTTTCAGCCCCTGAATATATTATACAAAATGTTCCCCATATGGTCTATTCATCCAGTTCTTCTGCTTTGCCATTTTGTATTTGAAGGTCACTTTGTCATCTAGTACCTGTTTTTAAGTACAAATTTTCATGCATCATATTGGAAAGATTTGTACAATATAATATTTCTGTTACCGCTTTTACAGTTCACAAGTCAAACTTTTGCTTATATATACTTTGGGGAAATATTACTTAATTATATTGATGTCCCGCTTCAAATATATAAATTCAACATGTGTACAACTTATATTTGGAAAAAAGTTTTCAGGTAAATGAAGCCTGAAAAATATTTGTAAGTTGGGACTCTATTTCTTACCTAAAACTAAAACAGTTTGTTTTTCTTAATTTAAGTGGCTAAAGTTCAAAACCTTTCCAAATGTCCTTATCCTTTCCAATATTTATATCCAGTTGTTTAGTGTTGTACTGCGTGGTGTACAAATTCCTTAAATCTTCTTTTTCACCTCTGTAAATTGAGTTTTACCAACAGCCATAGTAACTCCATAATAACTTCATGAGATTCCGTATGCTAACAGAATAATAGAGTTGGAAGGGACTTGGAGGTGGTCTAGTCAAAACTCCTGCTCAAATAGGAAACCCTTTTCAGACAAATGGCTGCCCAACTCTTCTTAAAAACCTCCAGGGTTGAAATACATAGAACTTCTGGAGGCAAATTGTTCCACTGATTAATTGTTCTAACTGTCAGGAAATTTCTCCTTAGTTCTAGGTTGGGTCCTTGATTAGTTTCCCTCCATTGCTGCTTCTTCTGCCTTCAGGTACTTTGGAAAATAGGTTGACTCCCTTTTTTTTGTGGCAGCCCTTCAAATATTGGAACCCTGCTATCATGTCACCCCAAGTCCTTCTTTTCATTAAATTAGACATACCCAATTCCTGTAACAGTTCTTCATATGTTTTAGCTTCTAGTCTCCTAATCATCTTTGTTGCTCTTCTCTGCACTCTTTCTAGAGACTTAGCATCTTTTTTTACATCATGGCGACCAAAACTGGATTCAGTATTCCAAGTGTGGGTTTACCAAGGCACAATTAAGTGGTATTAACACTTCATGTGATCTTGATTCTATGTCTCTGTTAATGCAGCCTAGGACTGCTTCTGATGCAATAATTGTGAACTGAAGGATGTCAATAAGATACTCGATAGTATGAGCTCCACCTCCTGTGATCTACAAGTAGTCCTCGACTTACAATCATTCATTTAGTGACTGTTCAAAGTTATAATGGCACTGAAAAAAGTGACTTGACCATTTTTCATATTTATTACCATTGAGCATCCCTATGGTCACGTGATCAAATTTGGACTCTGGCAAATGACATATATTTTTTATAGTTGTATTCTCTGGAGATCACATGATCACCATTTGCAACCTTACCGGACGGTTCTGACAAGCAAAGTCAATGTGGGAAACCAGATTCAGTTAAACACCACATGATTCACTTAACAACTCTGGCAAAAAAGGTTGTAAAATAGGGAAAACTCACTTAACAACTACCTTGCTTAGCAACAGAAATTTAGGGCCCAATTGCAGTCATAAATCAAGGATCAGCTGTAGATCTATATGCCTCTTGACTATTCCTTCACACAGATAAGAGGTTATCTGGATGGATTTGAGTAATTATTCTTTGAATGAAGGAATAGTTCCCACTACCTTGAAGAAAGCAATGGTGTGCCCTCTCCTGTAAAAAAAATCATGTTCTTGATTGTGTTGTATAGCTTTCACCTAGTCTCCAGTCAAAGTGAATAAGAAAACTAGATGATTCCTAGTCTTAGAACTATTCCTTGGGAGAGGGGAATAACAGATTTATCCTTTTATTAACACATTGTTTTAGATTATAAATTGATAATTTATGAGCTGTGTAGAGTCTCTAAATAAGCGGGATGCCAATTTTGTAACAAATGTAATAAATCATCCTGACCATGTGGGAAGCTATCTTTTGTTTCACTTAAATTTAACTGAAGTGGCTTCTATAAGTACAAAACTATTTTTAGTTCACTATAACTGTATGAATAATGAACGCTGAAATTATACATTTAAGCAGGTAAGTCATTGACTCAGATTTTAGCTTGGCCGTACATTTGCAAAGTGGCTTTGAGAAGGTTGCTATGTGTTAGCCTTGACCCTCCATTTATAATATGTGTAAAATAATTACTCTGCAATTTTCCAAGGAAGATAGTGTGTTGGTTTTTGAGCTATAGGACTACACTCCATATACTGTATCTATAGTATATAGTATATGAGAACCCACAGAAGTTCATAAATTTGCTTGAAGATGCCACAATATGACTCTTGTGGTGTTTTAATTTTATGGGGTAATTAAAAGGATTTTTGAGGAAATATTATTTATTAAATTTATATGCTGCATATCTTGCCATTAAACACTGCACATCAACATATGTGTGTATTACTTGAAATGGTCTTAAATTAGTATGTGTTATATTGATAATTTATGTTTCCCTATTTAGGGTAGAAAATGGCTTATTTTTTTGGTCTGCTTTAGCAAAAAATCCTAAACTTAGATAGGAACCTCATATGTCCAGTATAATATTGGAATCAGAACTAAACAATAGTAGATGACAATCAGAATTTGGGATGTATACTTTATTAGGGTATATAGTCAGTAAATTCCATGTTGTTGCATATCCTGTTTGCTTTGTTGTCTGTTTTCCTAGTTGATACTATATGAGATAGCGTTCCAGAAAAATAGATATATAAAGCGAAATCAGAAGTGCTTTTTTAAAAAAGAAAGAAATTGGATAGGAGAATGGAAACATCTATGTAATATTTATTTTATCCGCAAACTTATTTTACTGGTTTAATAATAAAATACTCCCTTTTAATTTTTCTTTATATGTGCTCTATTCTACAGAAGCTTGTGGGAAGGTGGCTTTTTTCATTATGTGTGCGTCAGTCAAATACAACACTCGGGGTCCAGCCCTCATCCCAAGAATGAAGACCAAACATCGCATCTACTACATTGCTCTATTTTCTGTTGTGCTACTGGGGTTAATTGCCACTGGCATGTTCCAGTTCTGGCCTCACTCCATTGAGTCCTCAAATGAATGGACCCTTGAGAAGCGCAGCATTCATGATGTACCTATAATCAAGATTCCTACAGACAGTGCCATTCCAGAACGGGGAGATCTTAGTTGCAGGATGCACACATGTTTTGATGTTTATCGCTGTGGCTTCAATCCGAAGAATAAGATCAAAGTCTATATTTATTCCCTAAAGAAGTATATGGATGAATACAACATGCCAGTCAGTCACACCATTTCCAAGGAATACAATGAACTATTAACTGCTATTTCTGATAGTGACTTTTACACAGATGACATCAATCGTGCTTGTCTATTTGTACCATCCATTGATGTTCTCAACCAGAACACACTGCGTATCAAGGAAACCGCTCAGGCTTTGGCACAATTATCCCGGTACCTCCCTCCAGAAACCTTATAGTAACTTCCAAAACTAAAATAGGAATTCAAGAATAGGGATTATGAGAAACTGTTACAGCCAGGATATAAATATTGTGTCTTTCTCTCCCAAAGGTTAATAATTAAAGCTATGATCCTGTATTCATACACTAGATATACATTCAATTGGATTCTTATGCTTGCTTAATAGTTTTGTATAAGATTGAGAACAGACTAATTATTAGTTGCTGCAGAAATCAGACAAATAAAAATAGCTGGAATATTTAAATTTTGTTTACCGCATTTTCCGGCGTATAAGACGACTGGGCGTATAAGACGACCCCCGACTTTTCCTGTTAAAATAGGAGCCTTGGTAGTACAGTGGTCTAAAGCACCCTGTTATTAAGACCAGTTGCCTGCAATTACTGCAGGTTCGAATCTCGCCAGGCTCAAGGTTGACTCAGCCTTCCATCCTTTCTAAGGTAGGTAAATTGAGGACCCAGTTGTGGGGGCAATAAGCTGACTTTGTATAAATATACAAAAGGATGAAGGCTATTGCTTAGCACATTGTAAGCCGCCCTGAGTCTCCGGAGAAGGGCGGCATATAAGTCAAATTTTAAAAATACATATATATATAGGGTTTGGGCTATAGTCGCCGTATAAGACTACCCCTTTTCCAACGCACACCAAATGAAAATTAAAAAACATCAACTGGCTCACCCACAATGTAAAAGCAGCTGTGCTAGACCCAAAATGGCCCTGCAACAAGCAGGAACCTCACACAGCCACAAAAAGCCCCCCAAAAAACAACTTTCACACTTTACACACACACAACACAACACAACTGGCTCACCCACAATGTAAAAGCAGCTGTGCTAGACTCAAAATGGCCCCTGCAATAAGCAGGAACCTCACATAACCACAAAAAGCCCAAAAAACCAACTTTCACACTTTACACACACAAAATTCCACATACAGCTTTGTGAGATTTTGTGTGCTTGTGTAGTTAGAGTGAAACCCAGAAACACAAAATCTCAGAAAGCTGCACAAATATTATTTTTTTTTATTTTTATTTTTATATGAAAGCTAAATTTAAAACTTCCTAAACTTTAAATGGCTAGGTCTAAAAAAGAACAATTAAAAAAACTCCCAATTAACTATTTTTTTTAAAGCTCCCAAAGGGGAAAACAACTTACCCAATAGAACAGGGGTCTCCAACCTTGGCAACTTTAAGACTTGTAGACTTCAACTCCCAGAATTCCTCAGCCAGCTTTGTTTTGCTGGCTGAGGAATTCTGGGAGTTGAAGTCCACAACTCCCTGCCTGCTTGATTGCAGGCAGGGAGTGGCTTGCTGATGGAATGGATTCAGGCAAGCGAAGCAAGGCAAGCGTTGCGACTAGCAGCTAAGGTAAGCAAGCTGGAGGGGGAAAACTTTTTCCTTTAACATGGCTCTGGTGATCCCAGCGGAGTTGCCTGATTAGCAGGCAACTCCGCTGGGATCATCAGAGCTTGGATCGCCAGAGCCATTTAAGGCTCGTCAAAGCCTTTCGGGCTGGTCTGCCTGGTTACAGGAGAACGACACCCGGCGTATAAGACGACCCCCGACTTTTGAGAAGTTTTTCATGTGTTAAAAAGTTGTCTTATACACCGGAAAATACGGTAGCTGTTTTGTTGTAGAATTGCTTTGATTTTTGTTTTATGTCCAAAATTCAAGTACATGTTCTGTGTGGTGCTCAGATTTTTTTTTTTCATTTCCTTTATCTTCTTAGTTGGGATAGAGGCACCAATCATCTCTTGTTCAATATGTTGCCTGGAGGACCACCTGACTATAACACAGCATTAGATGTTCCAAGGGACAGGTAGGTAATTTTTGCTGTTGTTCATGTCTTTTTTTGGTTAGGTGACTTATAGAAAGTTAGATAAAGAAGTGGAAGACTTCGTGCATATGCTTGGCTTGGGATATTCCATAAATGAGATGACTTTTCTGCTTGATTTTTTTCCCTCCACCATTTCTAAATGAAAAACTAGACATGGGACGTATTGATGTATCTATGCTGCTTTCTAAAAACATTACTGTACCTAGATTTAAAGTATTTGTTCCAATTTACTGATGTTCCAAAGGCATATTTTTATTAAAGATGAAAAGTAAAACTTTTCAAAACTTAAAGCCCCCTAGATATGAGTCATGGGGATGTCTAGTGCTAGCTATCCTTAGTATGTCATTATATTTATATAGATAATCATGTGTTGTGGTCTGCCGGTGGCCTGTGGAGTTGGCAGCAGAGTTGGACAGTGAGGAGGTTGGGGAGGAACATGGGCCAGTCCTGGAGTCTGGGGAAGGCTCGGACGAGGGCTCTGTGTTGGAGGCAGCCAAAGGGCCATCTGGGAGGTATGTGTTGCCTCTGGAGCTCCAGAGTCGGACCTCAGCGAGGCAGAGGAATAGCAGACTTATAATGCCGAAATTGATCTATCTTAGTCTCCCAATGGGCAGCAAAGAGTCTGCTGGCTGCCAGAAGAAAAAAAAGCCCAGAAACTAGTGAATTGTGATTTCACTGAATTAGGGCTGTATTATATCTTGGTTTACGTAGGTAGAACCTGGCTAAAGAGAAATACACATAAAACCTACGAAAAAGGAAGAAAAACAAATATTGTACCTTTACAGGGAGGATACATGAGATGAGGGTGTGGCTAACTGATGAGGCCTTATAAGGCCGAAATAGATCTATCTTAATCTCCCAATGGGCAGCAAAGGGTCTGCTTACTGCCAGAAGAAAAAAAAAGCCCAGAAACTAGTGAATTGTGATTTCACTGAACTAGGGCTGCATAATAATATCTTGGTTTACATAGGTAGAACCTGGCTAAAGAAAGATATATATATGTATGTATGTATGTATGTATGTATGTATGTATATGTATATGTATATGTATATGTATATGTATATATATGTATATATTTGCTGATAAAGAAATAAAGGTAGACTTTATCTTTATCAGCAAATATAAATTTGATACAGAGGTCGACTTCGAGGTGCCTCGCATGGGGAGTGCCGCAGGGGTCGGTCCTCTCGCCCCTTCTGCTCAACATTTATGTGAAGCCGCTGGGTGAGATCATCCGTGGTTTTGGGGTGAGAGTCCATCTGTACACTGATGATACTCAGCTGTACATCTCCACCCCAGACCACCCCAACGATGCCCTTGATGTGATGTCTCGCTGCCTGGAGGCCGTGCGGGTCTGGATGGGGAGAAATAGGCTCAGATTCAACCCCTCCAGGACTGAGTGGCTGTGGTTTCCGGCGCCGCAATATAGTCAGCTGGTGCCATCGCTGACTATTGGGGGTGAGTCTTTAACCCCCACAGAGAGGGCCCGCAATCTGGGCGTCCTCCTGGATGCACGGCTGTCTTTAGAAGAACATATGACGGCCGTGGCCAGGGGGGCTTTTTATCAGGTTCGCCTGATCCACCAGTTGCGGCCCTTTCTGGACTGCGACGCCTTGCGCACAGTCACTCATGCCCTTGTCACCTCCTGACTGGACTACTGCAATGCTCTCTACATGGGGCTCCCCTTGAAAAGCACCTGGAGGCTCCAACTGGTCCAGAATGCGGCCGCGCAGGTGGTTATGGGCGCAACTCGTTGTGCCCACCCCTCCTGCGCGAGCTGCACTGGCTCCCAGTGGTCTTCCGGGTGCGATTCAAGGTGTTGGTTACCACCTTTAAAGCGCTCCATGGCATTGGACCTGGGTACCTTTGAGACCGTCTTCTGCCACTAGTAGCCTCCCACCGGTCAGTCCACTCCCACAGAGAGGGTCTCCTCAGGGTGCCATCAGCCAAATTATGTCGGCTGGCGACACTCAGGGGGAGGGCCTTCTCTGTGGGAGCCCCTGCCCTTTGGAATGAACTCCCCCCAGAAATTTGTAAAATCTCTGATCTCCATGTATTTCGCTGTGCCCTCAAAACCATGTTGTTCCACCAGGCTGGGCTATCAATATAAAGATTTTAATTTGGTTTTAAATGGGATTTTAAATTTGGGGTTTTATAAATTGGGCCTATTATTTAATAATTTTAATTATTTTTAAATATTGTCTGTCTTTGTGTTTTTAATTAGGCTGTACACCGCCCTGAGTCCTTCGGGAGAAGGGCGGTATAGAAATTAAATAAATAAATAAATAAATAAATAAATAAATAAATAAATAAATAAATAAATAAATAAATAAATAAATACATACATACATACATACATACATACATACATACATACATACATACAAAATAGTTGTCGTGATAGCTGAAAGGCGAAAGGGAAGCAGTATGTTCCCTCCCATATTGGGGTATACCAGGTAGACAGAAAAAACACTTACACACACACACACACACACACACACACACACACACACACATTCTAGTAAAAACTGAAAAAAAGAACTTTTAATAAAAAAAATCAAATCCTATGTGTAGCTGAACCATAGCTAGCCTGCAGAGGGCAGTCATGTATAATTGTTTTGCAGTCTTAAGGCCTTCAAGTGTTTCTTCTCAAAACCCCACTCCAATTTTCCTAAAAACAATCAAAGACATTAGTAAAGAAAATGTAGGCCAAAAGTCTTTGTGATATGTTTATTTCTCTTCAAGTATGGGTAGCCAAATCTTTCTAGCAAGTTTGTGATCAAGCAACAATGAACGTATATGTCTTGTATTGTTTGTCTTCTACTTTTGTTAATTTGGCACTCACAAAATTTATATAAATAAAAGCACAGCTTTTCTCTCCTTCATCCCAAATATACTCTCTGGATGTAGTCCAAAAGTTTGTGGCAAATGTTGAGGATACCTATGAGTTGTTAAGGAAGGGGGAATCTTATGCCCTTCTTCTCTCAGAAAAAGTGTTAAATTTGGTGTCACCCACAGCTAACAAATTGTACGTCTACTTTCTCAGAATGAAATTTTAAATCATCTTTTAAAATACCATAGAAAAGCTGAAGCTGGTGAAGTGGAAACCAACAGTTATCAGACTATATTTGATAACAAATATCTACTACTGCCCAGAGCATGAACAAAGCATGAACAGATACCGTTTATCTGTAAAAAATAGTATTTCAATTTTAGAACAGACTTATCTTTAAGGCAGGATTTTGATATATTGCAATCGGTTGACTTTTTCCCCATATATATGACTTCTATCTTGCTAGCAGTAAAGCAACTACTTAACCATGTTGAGTTTGTAAAACGTCTGTTATAAAAAACATTTGGAATGAGGGATTGAGTATCTGAAGAATTGAGATTTATAGCCATGCCTTTAATAAAACCTCACATTTATAAATCTTCATGAATTTGTATAAATTTAAAATCTGTGTCAAAATGCTACAATGTGGCAACTAGATTTATGAATTGTGTAAGTTGCTTAGAATTTCTAAGGTTAATTGCAGTAAAAAATTAATAGTCAATGGCTATAATAAAACAATAATAATGTGATCATACTAATTAATTCCCATTAACAATATAACTGTCCTGTGTGGAGTGACTGAAGCTTCCAAAAGATTAATTTATAGTAGCAACATATATGTGTAAAACACGCTGTAGTAATCCAAGTTAGAGATTGCTAAAGGCTGAGTAATTATTGAAAGATTACCTGTGTCCCATAAATTCAAACTTATTGGCTCAGTCTAAGATATAAAAAATATGTTGAGCCAGGTGTGATCAAAGGATAGTGTCAGTCAATATTCCTGATTCTGAAAGTGGGGATAGTAATAAAATTGGCAACCTGGGTGCCCTCCATATATTTTGGATTCAACTCCCATAACCCCTAACTTGTCAGAATGTTGGAGGAGCACATGTGAAAGGTATTAGCCCACATATTCACTTACTTAGGCCAATGAATTATCCACACTGTTGATATTTTGTCTGCATTTAACACCTCTATTATTGCCATCTCGTCTATATTTTGTGTCAGTTAATTAGTCTTCCTTGTTTCTTTTTTCTTTTTATTATGTTTTTATAAATCGTCATAAATTATGTTTCCATACATAGATGTTCATTTAATACTCTGGTTTCTCTTCAGATCGTATAAATCTTTCACTGTGTTTCTGTAATCCTGCCCTTATACTGGTTCAGTGTGTACATTGCTTGAACTATCTAGACTAGAGCATGTTGGCGGAGAATTCTGAGAGTTGACGTTCACACATCTTAAAACTGCTGAAGTTGGGAAATGCTGATCTAGAGGGAAGAAATGAATGCATATTAGTCCACCCTCTCTAGGATGAATGGGAATGTTGATGTGTGGAACATATGGTATTCTTGCAGCAAACTGGGGAAAAATGATAATTCCAAAGCAGCCTTTTCTGTAACTGTTCAAATGTGTAGGAGATATAATATATTGCGCTTCAGGGGTGAAATCTAAAAATTGTTGCTACCGGTTCTGTGGGCGTGGCTTAATTAGTGGGCATGGCTTAGTGGTCAGCTGACTGGGTGGGCGTGGCTTGTTGGTCAGGTGGGCGTGGCCAAGTCGACATCACTTCTTTGCCCTTTTTTAACCTACAAAACACAACACAACACAACTGGCTCACCCACAATGTAAAAGCAGCTGTGCTAGACCCAAAATGGCCCCTGCAACAAGCAGAAAACTCACACAGCCACAAAAAGCCCCAAAAACCAACTTTCACACTTTACACACACAAAATTACACATATAGCTTTGTGAGATTTTGTGTGTTTGTGTAGTTAGTGAAACACTACAGAAACACACAAAATCTCAGAAAGCTGCACAAATATTATTTTATTTTATTTTATTTTTATTTTTATATAAAAGCAGCTAAATTTAAAACTTCCTAAACTTTAAATGGCTAGGTCTAAAAAAAGAACGACTAAAAAAACCCCCAATTAACTTTTTTTTTTAAAGCTCCCAAAGGAGAAAAAAACTGGCAGGCAGGCAGGCAGGCAGGCAGATAGAACTGCTCACCGATGAGCTTGATTGCAGGCAGGGAGATTCAGTTGCTTGCTGATTCAATGGATTGTAGGGATTACAGCAAGCGAAGCAAGGCAGGTGTGCGAAGCTTGAGGCTGGGGGGGGGATTTTTGCTACCGGTTCTCCGAACTGCCCGCCGCCATCATTACCTACTCACCCGAACCGGTCTGAACCAGGAGTGTTGTAGCTCCATTGCCTGAGCCTGGGTTATCGACAGATGCAGACTCTGAGAGTGAGGAAGAGGAGTTGGCAAGGCCTCCCTCTCCAGGACCCTCCTCTCTGGCAATGCCTCCGGAGGACACCAAAGGCCAAAAGATAGGCTCAGAGCCAAGCACGTCCCCGCAGCCACAGGTGGACAGCGACGAAGGAGATAAGTGCTGGCTGGACCCTCGCCAGAGGTGCAGGAAGAAGTGTGCGCAGCAGAGGGGAAGGCGTGCCAGAGATTAGCTGAGTCACTGGACCACACCCCACAGGGTATAAATGTGGGTGTGGTGGCCGGTTCAGTTTGTGACGAGCAAAAACTAGAAATAATCCATGATCTCTGCATTACTGGACTTTGCCTGCTTTATCGGACTGCATTTGGATTAATCCTTGTATTGTTGAAAACTCTGCCTGTTTTATCGGAATGCTGGCAGCCTAATCTTTGTTTTGTGTGAGTAAAGTCTGAATTGGCAGCTAGCCACTGGGTTGCTGCCAGCTTTATTTTCAAAGAATTTTGTCGTGTGGCTTATTAACTCCGGGCCATCTGTGGGGGTGCGTGAGTGGAACGGGGACAGAACAAGGAGCATTTCACCCCTGCTTCAATGTGTTCTCAGCAGTATCCTGGAACCATTAATATTTTTATTTATTGGTTTGTTTGTATCCCACCTTTATTATTTTTACAAACAACTCAAGGTGGTGAACATATTCAACACATCTTTCTCCTATTTTATTTTATAATATTTTATATTGAAAGCTGCTGAAATGTCAAAAAGAACTAGTAAATTCATTCCCCCTTTCTTTCCTGACATAAGTTATCCTATTAAGAAAATATAGTGATAACATTCTATTGTAATAGATGGTGAAGGCAGCCAGATTTCATATCAATTTTGGGGGACTCTTTATTTACCATTTTGTGTTTAGCATCCTGAATTTAAGATGAAGAACGTGAAATCCTCGTCTGGTTCAATTTTTAGGCACTATACATATGAATATTAGTCCATTTACTGAATTTGCTTTAGAACTTTTTTGTAATAGAAAAGATAATTTACAAAACAATGGATAATGAAAAATAATGCAATTATTTAAAAAAAACTCTACTAAATTCTTTTCCATTAATCTAGCATATGTTTCGATTCTGGATGTATCTAGTGCGGAGTGGAAATTTATGTTGCAAAAGATCATGTTATTTTCTTTATTGAAAGGGACAATTAAAATATTTGCAAATTGGAAGTTTGCTGTCTTTTCATGCTCATTTACAAATAGTCCTCAACTTATAACCACAGTTGAGCCCAAAATTTCTGTTGCTAAGCAAGACGGTTGTTAAATGGGTTTTGCCCTATTTTACAACCTTTCTTGCCACAGCTCTAAGTGAATCACTACAGTGGTTAAGTTAGTAACACAATTGTTAAGTGAATCTGACTTCCCCATTGACTTTATTTATCAGAAGATCGCAAATGGTGATCACATGATCCCAGGACACTATAATTGTCATAAATATGAGTCGATTGCCAAGCATCACAATATTAATCATGTGACCATGGGATGCTAAAATGGTTGTGAAAAACTGAGAAGTCACTTTTTTCAGTGCCATTGTAACTTTGAATGGTCACTTAACTGTTGTAAATCAAGGACTACCTGTATTAAACTACCAATATACAGCTTTTCATTTAAGTCAGGGGTGACAAACTCGCGGCCCATGGGTCGGATGTGTCATGCGCTGGCCATGCCCACGCCCAGTTTAGCAAAGGAGCAAAAAGTTGTGATACGTCACGTGACGACACTGTGACAACACGAGTTTGACACCCCTGATTTAACTACTATCCATAGCAGTTGAAAGAGATAGAAAATGTTCAGTTACACAGATACCTAAATTTCTGGCTTAAGTTTTAGTTAAATTGTCTTTTGTTGTATACTTATTGTCTTTTAATTAGTATTCTTCTGTCCTAAACTTTATCTTACCTCCCTGATCATCTCTAATCCTTTGAATGAATGAGCATTTGAAGAAAACATCCGAATCTGGTATTTTCTTTCTATTATCCTCAGAGCTCTTTTGGCAGGAGGTGGTTTTTCTACATGGACCTATCGGCAAGGATATGATGTCAGTATTCCAGTTTATAGTCCCCTATCTGCAGAAGTACAACTGCTAAATAAAGGACAAGGGTAAGCTAAGATGTTAATTGTGCTTTTGCTTACAGTGCTAAGAAATTCAACCAGCCAGCTCAGAATTTGGTAAAATTCTCTCCATATTGATACTCCTCCATTCATTTAAAAGCTGAAATATTCAATATATTCCAGACTTCTTAAATATTATATCAGAATGACCGATTGTGTAAACTCTGGATTCTCTACCCGCCTTTGAAAGTGGGAACACTATTTGCCTTTTATTCATTTTCCATGAATTGTCCAAGATACTATATATAACCATTTGACTGGTTCATCAGCAAATTTCTATTGCAGTGTAAAGATTCAATATAGTTTTCATTATTATTCAATGGGATTTTTTAATCTAAAAAAATGCACCATGAAAGAAGGAATATCTGGCTTCTTTCTACTTGGACTTGCATATTCTGAGTGGTTCAGTTTTTTATTGGAAACTGAGCTTTATCTCTTACTCAGGGCAGGTTTGATAGATTATTTTGAAAAAGTGATTTCCATCATATGCCTCTTAGTTAATACTTGTGTTTGTAGCTCCATATTTTATTTATTATTTGTTTTGAAAATTTATGAGTTCAGTTTTATTTTTTTTATAAATTTTGACTTTTAAGTGCCAGTAGCTGCAAACCTAATTTACTGATATGTTTTACATGAGTCCAAGTAACAAGACAGTGGCATTTAATAGTACAATAAAAAAGAAATTGCCTACAGGTGACTTATAAAGTTGTAAATTTAAGCAACAGACAGCTATTAAAGAAAGATGATAGAATAGGAAATACTTGATATCTTGCCCCATTTTCATAGACAATCCACTGTTACATGGAAAACTGATCTGGCTTAAATTAAATGAGTTTCATATGCCCGGAGGGAAGAATAGATGTCTTTTCTAATAGACTGACCTGTTGTCTTTTGAGAATATACTAATATGTTGGTTTGTTTATGAAATTTATAAATCATTTCAATCTGAGCTAGTTTCTCAAGATGAATCAAGAAGCATACTATCAGAATGGTATGATCGCAAAACTGACAACAAGCTAAACCACTTTATAAGACAAACATGTGACTGCTGATAGTATTGTCATGTGGCAATGTTCTGCAAATTAAATTACGTTACTTCTAAAGCTCTAGTTTCCCATCTGAAAATTGGAACTTAATTTTTACTGTATTTGTAACTTCCTGTTATTGGTATTGGTTAAATATTAGAAACTCCCTCTAAGTATGAATTGGTATGTATTCAGTTTTAATGGTGATGATACATTTTTAATTATGTTTATAGATCGCATTTGCCACCTACATTTTTTGTTAAAAAAATAAATCGCCTGATTAAAAGTTAGTTTTTGGTTTTTGGAATAGAATTATTGCTGAACAAAACCGGGATAGTTCAGCTATAACCAGGAAAACAACTTCCATCTTCTATTGCCCATATAATTTTACTAGTTGGTAACTAACCAAAAGAAAAAATAATAAAAGAGTTTAAGAGAAAGCGTAGAAATCCAGGGCTAATATGATGCATGTTATGTTAGTCCTTTCAAAACCACTTCTAAACTCAATCTTTACCGTATTTATTGGAGAATGTTCTATTTATTTGAATATAGCTAGTTTTCAAATAATGGTGCAACCATAGATTGTGTTTCAGTGCATCCTTGAAAATAAGTTTAATTGAATAAATTGAGAATGACACCAGTAAATTCAGAGAGTGAGATAGTTTGCCTGCAATCCCATCATACTTATTCATGATTCATTGATGTTAGTGGCTCACATTGTGTTCAAGTCTGAAGATCAAATGTATGTATTTTAAAACTGCGCTACCTACTGCATTTCGCTTATTCAGCTTCTTTAATAATGTCTTCACAATTGGGTTGATACATAATTTTTCCAACTATCATATTGTTAGTGCACCAAAAACCAAAGACGGCAAACAAATATATAAGACTATGTTTGTGTAATAGCAATAGCACTCAGACTTATATACTGCTTCATAGTACTTTACAGCCCTCTCTAAGCTGGTTACAGAGTCAGCATATTTCCCCCAACAATCTGGGTCCTCATTTTACTAACCTCAGAAGGATGGAAGACCCAGTCAACCTTAAGTCTAGTGGGAATCGAGCTGCCAAATTGCTGGCAATCAGCAGCAATTAGCCTGCAATATTAACATTGTAGCCACTGAGCCACTGCCATGCTCAAGTCCTTGGCAGCATAAAGAGAAATGTATTTTCAATTGCCTAATGAATACACTTCTAAACTTGTATGGTTCCAATTGTTGTGTATTCTTCAGTCTCCGCAGATATTTTCTCCTCTCCTCCCAAATTGCTCTTCATCCTGAATACCGTTCAGAACTGGAGGCTCTTCAAGCAGAGAATACAGAATCTGTGCTAATCTTGGACAAGTGTACCAACCTTTCAGAGGGAATTCCATTTATTCGAAAACGTTGCCATAAAAACCTGATGTTTGATTACCCTCAGGTCCTTCAGGTAATGCTGCATTTTGCTCCTATTCTTATTGGTTACAAGAGAGTATGATTTATTTTTTAAAATATGAGGGCTTCTGTAGATAAATATCTGAAGCATTAGATTTATTATACAGACTTTCACTGATTATACATGATGAGTTTGATGCATTGTTACCTTTCTAAGAGTGTAAAAGTTTTATGGATGAGCAGATGTTTCTGAGACCTAATTAAGGAGTCTGGCAGAATATGGAATTGACAGGATCCTTCCAACCTAGTCTTTCTGTCATTTTTTATATTCTTATGAGGGATTCCAGCTATCTTCTGGAGCAGAATTTTGAGAGAAAAGGAAAGATTACTGAAATATCAATTTCTCCCAACTCCAAAAAACAAACACTCAATTGTTTTAAGTCACATCCTGAACTTCCATTAAAAAAAAATACCTCTGCTCTTGAGTCATTCACTGAGTAGGGTGAATGAGTCACGAGCAGAACTTTTTTTTTTTTTCCATGAAAGGTCTGTATCTGAAGAAAGTAATCGAGTGTTTGTTTTTGTACTTTCAACTTAGTTGTTGACCCCAGAGACTGCTTGGGATTTGCCATTGCCTTCTTCCTAGGGCTGAGAGAAGTGATTGGCCTAAGGTTATCCAATTGGCTTTATGCCCAGAGTGAGACTAGAAATTACAGTCTCCTGGTTTATAGCCTGACTCTTAACCTCTGCACCAAACTGCCTTTCTTATGTTTTCAACATTGCAACCCTGACTCAGACACTAGTATTTACGGTATGTGTTTAAAAATGCAAATCTACAGGCATCTTATGAGCTTTTTAAATACAATATGTTTAATACAGGAGAAACTGGTGTACATGTTTGCCACATAGGTATGGGGTTTTTTTTCCTGGTGAGATAGGAGCATCTGAGAGACAAATGGTGTCACTTGAAGAGACTGAAATAGTTCTGGAAAAGGATGGTTGGGTTATTTGTTTAGTATTTCAAAGTTGTAATTAACATTTATCATAATTAATATGAAGAAGGAAAACCCTGTATGTATTTGAGATATATATATTTATATAATCATGAAATCCAGTTTCCTAACATAAGGTGGTGAATAAACCAGGCATTAGTTTTAATTTAATAAGATAATACACAATTGTGACTATTTTGTGGGTCTCTGTCCATAGGAAGCCACATTCTGTATTGTTCTGCGGGGAGCACGTTTAGGACAATCTGTTTTGAGTGATGTTCTTCAGGCTGGTTGCATCCCTGTTGTCATAGCGGATTCTTATGTTCTTCCTTTCTCTGAAGTTTTGGACTGGAAGAGGTACATACATACATTTTTCTCTTTGTTGCTTGAAATTCTGGACTAGAAGATTTACATTCTGTTATTATCACTGTGTGGCTTATTTGGAGACTGCATGATTCTGAGAAAATATCAAAAAATTATATAGATTGAATCCATTTGTCTTATTTCCAAGATATACCAGTACAAGAATAGTGGGTTGAGTGTTTGAGCAGTCAGGCAATTTTTGATAAAGTTGCAGGCTTCATTTAGACCACAGATTGTTCAACCCACTACAGCATAACCAACAGAAGCTATGAAAAGGAATACACTACCATACATTAAAAAAGAATCACAGAAACAGCCAACAGACTATTACTACCAAACAACATCACTGTACAACACAAACCAACTAAAACCCTCCAAAAGATTTTAAGTAAACCAAAAGATCAATAGCTCAAGAACAAAAAGCAGGCGTCATCTACAACATACAGTGTAAGAACTATAACAGCTAACTATGTAGGACAGATATTCTGAAGATTAGCAGAGGAATCCATTAACACCAACTAGCACTCAGAAGACAGACTCTACCATAGTTTCAGCTGGGAAACTAAGCATCCTAGACCAAGCTAAATCCAAAAATGCTAGGGAATTCCTAGAAGTTCATTTTTTCTGTGATTAAGAGAGGCATAAAAACAAAAGGTAATGTTACATTTTTGGATTTCTCTGTTATACCATCCAGATACTGAAAACTAATTTTCATCAACATTGTAGTTAAACGAAGAAAATGTTGTATTCTAGACTTTCTCCTTTGTTATGTTAAGCAGGTATAAAAAACATTAGGGGTCTGCATGAAATAGAAAATGTTTTGACATTCAAAACAAATACATTCTGTACCAGAAGTTTTGCCAAATTTCTGGAACAGCTATGGTTCAGCAGAAGCAAAATCCAAATTATGGATTTCAGCCAGTATGAAATTTACAAGGATGGTATGTGCCAGCCTTGCTCTGCTGACTCCATAAAATAATAATAATGGTTTTATGGTGTGTACATGCCACCCCTCCTTTATCACCTCCTCTCAGCAGCTCTCACTGTGTTCCTCTTCTTCCCAGTGACCTCACATTCTTTTCTCACCTTAACTGCTATTGCTACTGATGTTCTAGGCTTTTATCTGCTGCTATCAAAAGCACTTCACCTCAGAATAACCATGGCTCTGCTGGTGTCTGGAACAAAACAGTCTAGCTTTGTTCCATATCAGATTAAACATGTAAGTTTTAGCTCAGATACAAACCTCCTGAAATAGCTGTTCCATTCATAGAATAGACTGTAGAGATTCTCAGTCATCCAGGTCATGGTTGTCCCAAAGGTGCTTTTTCAGGAGGCAACTGGACTTTCTTATTTTTTTCTTTGAATATGTTTCACTTCTCATCCAAGAAGCTTCTTCAGCATCTTCAGCTCTGATAGGATGTGGTGTGGGAGTAGGAATGGTGTGGGAGTAGGAATGGATTTCCAGAGAAAAAATAAATTGCAGACTACAGGAAACAGGAGAACTCCTCAGGTGACCCTGAGGGCACAGATTGAGGCAACTCCAAGTGCTTCAATGACCCTTGAAAAGGATGCAAATGACTAACTGTCTGCAAGGAATATAAATTCCTCCCTATCCTGTCAGAGCTGAAGAAGCTTCTTGGATGAGAAGCGAAACGTCTTCAAAGAAAAAACAAAGTCCAGTTGCCTCCTGAAAAAGCACCTTTGGGACATTCATAGAATACATTGCACATCCATAGAAAACATTATTGTTGAGGGAACCTTGACAGAATGTGTGCTTTACCATAATAAATATTGTCAAATCACTCTCATTTTCTAAATTTGAGATACTGTCACCATGAGGATTATTATATTTATGCACTTTTGAAAACTGCTTTGTCCTTATTGAAGCAAGCTTCGCCATCAGATGTTATTGATACATTGCATTTTTTAGCATAAACAAAATTATTTCATATTTTAACAATTGTATGTATTATTTTAAAAAGATACTAGGAAATATGTCAACTTTATATTAAAAAATCTCAAGTTTTTTTAGAACTTTTTTTTATCCTTTCCCCTTTTTTCATTTTTTTTGGTGGGCTTTCAAGTCTCTGGTTTTATCAATTTAATTCTATAAAAAGTAACTTTCTCCATTTCTGTTAGTTAATTAACTACATGGCTCTTCTATTGGGTCTTGAATTTCTCCCTTCAGTACAAACACTTCTATGGAGGAATTTAATTCAAATCATTTCAATAAATGAAAGAAGATAGATTTTGCCAATTCTCACCCACCCCTATTTCAAAGTTGAAACTCAAGGTTCTTTTTGTTGTATCTGCTGCAACTCTACTGAATCCTGTTATACATCAGTGTTTCTCAAGCAACTTTAAGATGGCATAGGGAATTCTGGGAGTTGAATGAATTTCACCTATCTTAAAGTTGCTTGAGAAACACTGCTGTAAATGGAAGGGACCTTTTCATTCAGAAGAGACCATGTCTGGATCTAGACCAGTGATGGCGAACCTTTTACACAACAAGTGCCCAAACTGCACGCACCCACATGCCCAAACTGAAGGTGGGCATGCGAGAACATGCGCATGTACGGACATGCGCAAGCATGTGAATGCATGGACATGCATCAGTGTGAGCTGGCATTCGTGGACATGCATGGACATTCACATGCATGGAATGCAGGCAAGCATGCATGGACATGGGCGCATGTGCAGCAGAGTTCCGATGACCAGCTGGCCGGCAGGAGATGGGGCATCCCAACACCGGCAGCGCAGCAAGAGGTAAGATCTTTTTCTTTCGTGAGCTTCTGTTTCATCATTTGCAGGGAAACAGAAGCTCACGAAAGAAACACCATGGAGATCGGACCTGGGGCGACGGTGCGCGTGCCAGCAGAGAGGGCGCTGCATGTCACCTCTGGCATGTGTGCCATAGGTTCGCCATAATGGATCTAGACCATTCTTAATTTCTCTGACATTAACTATGACCTTGGGATGGCTTAAGTTTTCAAAGTATTTCTTCTTTTTCTTTTCCTATGTCTACATTTAGAGCTTCTGTGGTGATACCTGAGGAGAAGATGCCTGAGCTGTACAATATCCTACAGAGCATACCCCAGCGGCAGATTGAAGAGATGCAGAGACAGGTACAATTAATATTCATTAATCTGAAGAAATAGGTGTAATATAAATCATTGTTTTGCTGTGAGTCTAATGTGTGCATATATGTTGGATAACTTTATATGGGGTAAATGTTAAAATGTTTTGTACGTTTCTAAATGTTAACGGTTTCTTCAAAGGAGGTGCACAGCATTCCCTATTGGTAAATTATGCCATATAGGTACACTAACATTACACAAACATAATATTCTATACTTCTTTTGGAAAATTAAATGAATGATATGAAATGGTAAATGAATTAGAATGAATAAAAAAGACATTTGATTACTTGCTTATGGGAGTTCTGAATGATTTTCACACTTTCATTAAAAGGACTCTTTCATTAGGACTCTCAATTAATGTATTTATATGTTTATTTTATTTATTCATTAAATGTAATTGCTGCCTTTCATCCAGGCATTGAAAACTGCATACATAGCCCTTTCTTCTCTAATTTTATTTTTGGCACATCTATGCAAGCTACCCCATTTGTCCAGGCCAGAGAACATTACAAAATAATATTGTAACCTATGACAATACTGTTTTTAATTTGATTATTGTTTAGCTTGATAATGATGGTGATTTTTAATGGTCTTTTTTTGTTTTTGTTTTTGTACTGATTTACCTGTTTGAACTATGAGTAAAACATATTGGGAATCCAGTTAGTGCTCAGATGACAGACTTCTAAAAATATCAGGGCTGTAGGTTAGTTGGAAAATGTAAAGCTAACATGTAGAAAGAAAACAGTAGGAATTCTTTTCTATATTATCGTCAAGAAAACTACGTGGATATACTCATAAATTTATGAGAAGTCAAACTTTACTTTGAGACCTTGGTCACATTACTTCACTCTGCTCTCCTCCTGTAAATTATTACTATATTTTTATCCTTTAAAAAAAATAATTCAAGGGGGCAAACATACCTAATATTCCTGCCTCTTATTTTCTTCACAACAACAAAACTGTTAGGTGGGTTGGGCTGAGAGAGAGTGACTGGCCCAAGGTCATCCAGCTGACTTTTATGCCTAAAGTGGGACTATAACTCCCAAGTCTCCTGGTTTCTAGGCCAGGACCTTAACCACTACACCAGACTTGCTCTCCATAACTCAATAACTATGGACTCCTCTGGGAAAGAATGATAGCACAGACACCTAAATAAATGTTGGTCTGTATATAAAACAATTTGAATTTTGTCATGCTGAAGATTATTTCTATCTAGATCCGTTCCAGTCGGGCTTCAGGCCTGGGTACAGCACGGAAACGGCATTGGTCGCGTTGGTTGACGATCTCTGGAGGGCTCGGGACAGGGGCTGTTCCTCTGTCCTGGTCCTGTTAGACCTCTCAGCGGCTTTTGATACCATCGACCATGGTATCTTGCTGCACTGGCTGGAAGGGTTGGGGGTGGGAGGCACCGTTTTACGGTGGTTCTCCTCCTTTCTCTCTGACCGGTCGCAGTCTGTGTTGACAGGGGGGCAGAGATCGACCCCGAGGCCCCTTATATGTGGGGTGCCGCAGGAATCGGTTCTCTCGCCCCTTCTGTTCAACATTTATGTAAAGCCGCTGGGCGAGATCATCCGTGGTTTCGGGGTGAAGTACCATCTGTACGCTGACGACACCCAGCTGTACATCTCCACCCCGGACCACCCCAACGATGCCCTTGAAGTGATGTCCCAGTGCCTGGAGGCCGTACGGATCTGGATGGGGAGAAATGGGCTCAGGCTCAACCCATCCAAGACCGAGTGGCTGTGGTTTCCGACGTCCCGATATAGTCAGCTGGCGCCATCGCTGGCTATTGGGGGAGAATCATTGGCCCCCACGGAAAGGGCTCGTAACTTGGGCGTCCTCCTGGACTCACGGCTGTCTTTAGAAGAGCACTTGACGGCCGTGACCGGGAGGATTTTTCATCAGGTTCGCCTGATTCGCCAGTTGCGTCCCTTTCTAGATCGGGACTCGTTACGCACAGTCACTCATGCCCTCGTCACCTCTCGTCTGGACTATTGTAATGCTCTCTACATGGGGCTCCCCTTGAGGTGCACCCGGAGGCTCCAACTGGCGCAGAGTGCGGCCGCGCGGGTGGTTATGGGAGCAACATGGAGCTCCCATGTAACACCTCTCCTGCGCGAGCTGCACTGGCTCCCGGTGGTCTTCCGGGTGCGCTTCAAGGTTCTGGTTACCACCTTTAAAGCGCTCCATGGCTTAGGACCTGGTTACTTACGGGACCGCCTACTACCATCAACAGCCTCCCACCGACCAGTATGCTCCCACAGAGAGGGGCTCCTCCAGGTGCCGTCGGCCAAACAATGTCGGCTGTCGGCCCCTAGGGGGAGAGCCTTCTCTGTGGGGGCACCGACGATCTGGAATGAGCTCCCCCCAGAGATACGGAGGATTCCGGATCTGCGCACCTTCCGCCACGAGTTGAAGACACTTTTATTTCATCAAGCTGGCCTCGCCTAAATCTTCTCCCTTTTAAGTGTAAATTTTAAATTTTTAATGTATTTTAAAATATGGGTATCTTAAATTATGGGTACTAATTCAGCCAAATTTATTTAATTCATTTTATTCAATTTTAAATTTTGTATATCTATGTGTTTTATTTCATGGCTGTGCACCGCCCTGAGTCCTTCGGGAGTAGGGCGGTATAGAAATTCAATAAAATAAATAAATAAATAAATAAATAAATAAATAAATAAATAAATAAATAAATATTTTACATACTTTATTTATAGATTATGTAAAACAGACTGTGGCTTTGTTAGCATAGTAAATGAATGAATAAAAGATTAAATAAATAAATATAACACTTATAACACTTCACAGATACTTTTAAGAAGGTGATAGACAGCCATATTCTGCATTACAAAATGGAAGCCAGCATTTTAATGTGCAGGCAGTCTCAGGTTAAGAATGAGATGCATTCCTAAATCTGTCTTTAAGTTGAAATTTTATTAAGTTGTAACTTAAACTTATGAATGGGTTGCTTGTTACTAATAATGGCAGATAGCATTCTGCTTCCTTTCATTAACTGTTGAAAACAGGGTATGCATTAAAAACATTCTGCTTCAGGTTTTCATGAAAACACCACACAGCTTCATTACGTTATCAGCTTGAAGAAAGAGAATACCATTCTTAGTTTTTAGTAATTGATAATCCTTTCGTAAGTACAAGTTTTCTATAAGTCAAACGTTCTTAACCTGGGGACTGCCTTTATGTGCTATCCAAATTCTGGGAACAGTGAGATACCTGCTTCTCTGTTTATCTTCTATATTTACGCAGACATGTTCTTATGACTGTTATTATTGTCTATACTAAGTGTTCAATGAAAAAGAGGAAGAGAATAAGTGAATAAGTAAAAATGTAGATAAAAGGAAAATTGGGTAAATAGCAACAGCACTTAAATTTATATACTGCTTCATAGTGCTTTTCATCCCTCTCTAAGTGGTTTACAATGTCAGCATATTGCCCCAAACAATCTGGGTCCTCATTTTACCTCATTTTACCAAACTCGGAACAATGGAAGGCCAAGTCAATCTTGAGCCGGTCAGGATGGAACTTCTGGTAGTGGACAGAAGAGTTAGCCTGCAGTACTGCAAAGTTGCATTCTAACCATTGAGCCACCAATAAATGATAAATGCATATGATTTAGGAGAACTGATATTTAAAGTTCAGACATAAAGTCTGTTGGAACTTTAAAACAAGTTTGTTTCTTTTTAGAATGATAATCCAGCATTAGTTTTAAAATGTGAACCTTCTGTTTTGGACTGTAGATCAGTTGAATGCTCAAAATTTCTTTGGAAAAACAAAGCCTGGAACTTGTTTTAAAGAACTTTAATGAGGAATCAATCTATCAATCCTATTCATTATAAAAATAAAAAGTGTCTAGGGAATGTAATCAAGGTTACAAGGAGGATATTGAAGTATATGAAATCAAGCATAAATATCAGGAAAACTCATTCTGTAAGGTAAGGGCCAAATTTATGAGGAGGTAATAGTTTTCCTACTCAAGTCAATTGACATGAGGCAGTCCTGGAAACTAATGTGGACTTGGATTATTTATGAGGTAATTAGATTACCTAAATCTGAGAAAGAGATCCCACTGAGGTTTTTGTTTTGCTATGAATTTTTGCCAATATGACAAATAACCAGAAGAGGTCTCTGCTCCCTTGATTCATTATGATTTTCATAGCCTTTGCTAGAATCTCTATTTGGAGATGAGTTAGTTACTACAATTGTGCTAGAAATGGTTAACTTCTGAGTACTATTGAAAATAGCAAAGAAGAGTTGATCTTAATGTGATCAGGTATCCATATTATTTAGCATTCTACTTTTTTATTATACTATTACATATTATACATACCCTGCAAGAGTAATGCATAGAACTGTAAATACATATCCTTAAATTTGTAATTATGTTTATAGATACTTCCCTTCCCTGTTTCTTTTCTTTTAGTCTATTGAGGATGCAACATCTGGCAAAAATGTAGGAATGAAATTAGAGCCACATCTGTCAGTGTTCTGAAATCACAGAATTGTAGAATTGGAAGGGCTCCAATGGTTCATCTAATCAACCCCCACCCTGTCAATTCCAACATAGGCTATTCCAGACCTGTGTGAGTCCATTTTTGAGCACTCTTTATAACAATGAGATTCCTCACATTCGACATGTAATTTGTTCTTCTGCTGAACTCTTCTTTCAGTCTGAAACTTTTGTTCAAAACTGTTAGGATTTAACAAAATAATTTCTTTATTTGTATACTCAAGAGTATTATTAATGGGTACAAAATTGCAAATGTTGATCTTTGAATCAATCTGTTACTCTTTTTTTTTTTTTGCAACATTCTAGTAGGGCAAATATTCTGACTACTGTATTGTTCAATTAAATTTTTAGTTTCATTTTACATTGCAGGATATATATACTAGTTGAAGCTGCAAATAAGAGCATATTCTTAAAATCTTATTTTTATATATGGGTTTAAATATTTAAAGATTAA